AGAGTGAAGTAAAAAAATATGCCTTTTTTTTTTTGCCTTATATTTTTATATTTTAATATTTTATATTTTTGTTTTTTTTTTTTTTTTTTTCATAAAATTACTCGTTTTTTTTTTTCTCATTTTAACAACTTTTAACCGCGTCACAACCCCGCGTGCGCAGACAATTTCGGCTTATCGGCGCTCCGCTACAGACATAAGCGAACAAGGCCAGAACGCCAACAACGCGCGTACTACTTTTTGTGACAGCGGTCAAATCGAGTTGTCCGCATGTGCGTGCGGAATGGTGATGTTGAGCAGGATATGACATTATCACCACAGGAATAAATAAAAGCAAAAAACGCGCGCATGCGCATATCGTACTCGGCAATTTTTAAGACTCACCGCTGCTCCGCGAGGATATAATACTCTTCGTTTATATATGTATGTATATATATGTATATATATATGTATATGTATGCATATATATGTATATATACATGTGCGAGTTTTCTGCAACAGGTTTTTTCCCCTTTTACGCCGAAGCTGCAATGGCGGGGAAGACGCGACGAGTCGCCGGACGCATATATTTTCAACTCGCAACTCTGCGCGTATGCTTCTCGATATAACTTTGTCCAGGGGGGAAGCGAATAAACTAGTCATTTGCGGTTTGGAAGCGCCCCCGTGGGTATCGCCATACAAAACATAACTTCAACAAGTGCGAACCGTTGACCAGGGCGCAACTCCAACCAACGCATAACCCCCGATCGACTTGCGCCCCGCCCCCTTTTGACCAGCGTAAAGGGTACTATGTTCGCCCAGTGCAGAAGCAAATTAGATGGGGCAAAAAACGGGTGAAAAAAAACAAAAAAAATACATTTTAAGAAAAAAAACATAATGAACATTTTTAGTTTTCCCGGATTTAGAAAGTCTAGTGCAATTTTGTTCTTTTTTCCGCCGCCTCGGCTAAGTTGTCCATTAGATGGGTTCCAAAAGAATACGAAAGTCTTTTTTTTTTTTTTTTTACTTCCTTCTTTCCTCATTTAATTTACACGTTTGCGACTCACATGAGTTCGAGAATAACATCTTTTTATCAACCTGTTTGATTTTACCCTTGTCCTGCACTTCCCTGTGCGTGCGATCTGATGGGCCATTTGCACCTCCCCCCCAGGGGTTCACCACGAAGCGTGCCATTGCATGCATGTAAACGTGCGTACATGGACCGATGGGTGTTATTGCGTAACATGTGTTGATTTATCATAAGCGTCTCCTGTGGTGTCCCTCCTATTCTGTGCTTTAAAAATTTGCGGTACTTTTCTCACCCCCCTCTTCGCTTTAACGGGTCGTCCCGCTGCTGCTTCGCGTCTGCTTCGCATTTGCTTCGCATTTGCTTTGCACCTGCCTCGCGTCCACCTAGCTTTAACCTGTCCATTTTTTTGTCCCTTTCTCCCTGACCCCGCTTCACCCAATGGGAATCCTCTACGCTTCGAAAGAAGAGAACACCAAGTATTTCCACCATGGGTACTTGATGAGCACTAATATAAAAGTCCAAGACGACTTGGAGTTGTACTCCTGCAAGTTTTTGCGTAAGGGGGAGAAAAGACTCGTCCGCAAGCTACGTAAAGAAGTCTTGTACGGAGCCACCTTCGACCACCTCTCAAAGATAAGGATGCTGACCTATGACAATACCAGCAGCATGCCGCGCTACTTGCTTAAGGTGTATAACATGTACGAGGACGCCAACAGTGTGCACGTCGTCATGGAGGGTTGCACGTAAGTAGGGGAAGTCAGGGTGGACGAGGCAGTTCCCGAGTTGGCCCGCTGCCACTGCCGCGGCCACTTCCGCTTCCACTTCCGCTTCCACTTCTACTCCCACTTGAACTACCGCTCACCATGCTTCTCCCCCACCCCCACCCCTACGCAGCGGCGGATTCATGACGGACCACCTCCTGGACGGAAGTGCCATCAGCGAGCGCCTGCTGGCGGACTGGTTCTTCCAAATCATAATCGCCATGTCCTTCCTGGAGAAACAACATATTCACCACGGAAACCTAAATGGTTACTGTATCTACTTTAAAGATAAAACAAAAGAAGAAGTCAGAGTCAGCCTCTTAAGCAAAAATAAAAAATATGACAACATAGATTACAAGGGAGATTTGTATGGGTTATTTTTTATCAGATCCCTACAGGAAATTAAAAAATTAAATTATAATAAAAATAACACATGGTACATTGGTCTCCTACTTTATTTTATGTTGACCGGGTCGTTTCCTTTCTTCAACAAAGACCCTTTGCAAACATATGCAAATATTGCACATGAGGAAGTTTCCTTGACCAATTTGAAAACACAGTATACAAATCTGGGTAGTCCTATTTTCGACTTCATAAAGCAGTGCCTGGAGAAGGACTACGACATGCGCCCATCTCTCATCCAGCTCTTGCAGCATCCTTGGATACGGGGTTAGTGCGGCCGTTTGTCAAGTCTCCCCCTCCTCCGCGCGCGCGTACATATGCACCCCCACACATATATATGTACATATGTGTGCGTGTTTCTTTTTTCCTTCCCTGCAGATCGGGACAATCTCCCCACGCACAACATCGTCGAGGACCAGGCGCGCAAGTACATTCGCTCTCCGCGGCACAGAATGACATATGTGCATATCTGCGTATTATATACATGTGCATATATATATGTGTGCGTACGTATATGTTTGTATATACTACATATTAGTGTTTTTTTTTCTGCCCCTTAGGGATGCCCGGCAACTAATCCACTCCTTAGAAAACGGGGTCCTGAAGACTGAGGAGGACTACGAAGAGGATAAGTTGAACCAGAGCTGGTGACGGGGATTCCTGTCTGCCCCTAGACGCAGCATCAGTGGTGCCACACGCGTTTCTTGCGAAGCGGTACGTGCAGTTAGTGAGTGTACACATGTCCATTGGTGGCGTTCGTGTCGAGTTTTTTTTTTTTGTTTGTTTTTTTTAAAAAACCAGTTTGTAAACGTGTTAAGTTCTACCCGCAAAGGGGGCATCTGCCAAGTGTGTTGTGCCCCCATTTTGTGGACTTCAAAATGGTGAAAAGTCTGTCCGGGGGTAGAAGCGGGGGGTACACAAAATGTAGAGTTTCGGTTTAGGCCGCTAAGCGTGGGTAAGTGGATTGAGCACATGTCAGTTATGCGTCTGTATGTTTCTCCAAAAGCCCTGTCGCCTTATCGTTTCTTCTTACTATCATAGTCGTAAAACCAGAGGATGACATTCATGAGGAGAGTCTCCTCGAATGCCAAGTTCTTGATGGAGTGCGTGCAGTCGTCGAACAGGAAGAACTTGGTCTTCTTCTTAAGCGCGAGCAGGCGCTTGTACAGGGAGAGGCTGTTGTGGTAAGAGACACGCAAGTCATCCTTGGAGGCAACAATCAAAACGGGCGTGCAAATATTCTCTACACAGTGTAAGGGAGATATCTCATACATACTGGCATAGTCATTCATACTATAAGAGCAATCATATTCTGCACCTCTGTTGAGACATAGGTTTATGAAATAATCCGGAACATCACTTGATTGAGCGGACAGTACCCAATCGTATACCCCATTAATCACGCAGCAGCTTTTAAATAAATTGCACTTGGTCAAAATTGCACACGAGGCAAACCCACCATACGATCCACCATACAAATAAACATTCTCATAGTCACCAAAATAATTATAAAAATTTTTAAACGTATCTAAGATGTCCTCAATTTCAATAGAATTTACATGCCCATTTAAAATGTTGGGTTTTTCTGAAAATCCTAAGGACCCAATATAATTAACGCATAACACATCAAATCCACAGGCGGCAAAAAAAATAAAAATATTTCTGTACTCATTAAGACAACTGGAGTAGGGTCCCCCATGGATGTACAAAATTAAATTCCTTTTATTTTTCCCATTGAATAAATTAAAATTTGGTAAATATAGTCCCTTCTTCTGCACATCATATTGAAAATCGGATTCAGTCTCGTATAGCATATTAAAGCTAGCATTTTTTCTCCTAATATATGGATGCTTCTCATTGAAGAGAGCTGTTTCCATTTGGCTCAACACCATGAATAGCTTCTCCGACAGGTCGTTTACATTTGCATAAATTATGCTGGTCTGCCTTTTCTTAACATTTTCATAAGTCGTAAAGTCTAGGTTGTAACTGCGCACCTTGGTCAGGTACACGTAGTCCCCACTTATGTTCATTTCGTTGAATAGGCAATACACCAACACGTGGTTCAGAAGCATATTGCGGATACTCACCAATAGGTTGTCTTCCTTTATACACATAATTTCAATACTTGTGTTCATATCATTTTGGTTGTATATATTCTCAATTAAAATTCGATGTACCTTTTTTGTAAACATGTGCACTGCTATGGCAATTTTGTTGCAATAGAATATTGTGTTTAGGAAGAGGTAGGGGTAGCAGTATCCTTTTATTTCATTAGTGTATAGCCCCCGGAAGAACCCAGTATAACTGCCCTCTCGAATGATCACCTCCGTCTCTACCTTCTTATAGTTGCATATGTCATCTTGATTCAGGGGAACCGCAGAACTCACGGGGTGGGTACTCGTACCACCCCCCTCTACTGTGGCCACACTGGTAGCATGGTCCGCCTGATCACACTCTTCCGTGCCGTCACTTCCATAACCCTCATCACTGGAGTAGAAATCTCCCTCCGCGTGCACCTCATGCTTATCCCCCTTTGGTACGCTTCCCTGATTTCTTTTCGCCCGCGCCTTGGCGTCCTCTTTCACCAGCTTTATCAGCACCAAACTGTACTCCATCAAGTGCTGCTTCGACTCCTCATTCTTACCAAACACGACCAAGCATGCCACGTACACGCAAGAATCGTCGTGTCTAATTACGAGTGGTGAAGCTGTATGTTTGAAATTTTTTCCTGACAATTTGGCGTAGGCGCACCGAATGTGATTCTTTCTGTTTCGTTCACACACCTGGCCAACCCCCCCATTACTACTCGCCGCATTGGGAATTGCTCCCCTTTTCCCATCACGCTCCCTCCCATCACAAGGCTCTACATCCGACTCGTTCAGCGTACACAAATAGAGATCATTGGCCCTCACATTAAAGGCATATATACCCAGTCGGTACGGAACGGTCCGGTAAGAAAGACACACAAAAGAAGTGTCATCAATAAACTGAGGATTATAATAACACCCAGTCACATCCTTCACAGTTATATACTTCACTGTATTATCCTTCAAATTATAAACAAACAAATTGAAGGAGGAGTAATCGAATTGCTCTCCAAAAGTGTCAGTATATATATGGTTGTTAATTTTGTTTAAAATGTCAACGTCTTTTTTTGGAATACAACTACTCTCCTTTTTATATTTTATATCATCAGTTTCGGCACTGTAAATCAGGAGGGTGTTGCTAGCATTGAAGGAACAAAAGGACCCATGCATGAAGAAGCGCTTATGTAGGTCTGCATCTATTGGTATATTGTTCATACAGGTCATGAAGAATTTTCCGCTGTTTCTTTCATTTTTAAATAAAAGGATTTTCCTTTTTTTTTCTTCATTACAAAATAGGCATCCTACACTACCATCTTTCGACATGTACATTTTTAACTCCCCATCATAGAAGCTGTTGCTTATATCTAGGTCATCTTGGATGCAGGACATTTTATACACTTTTTCCTTGTTGCTCAGTTGGTAGTGGATGATGCACAACTGGTACATTTGCACTTCCCGCTTGTTTATACTCCTCTTCACCTCCTTGGCGAAGAAGCACTTTTCAATTACGTTCGTTCCGCAGTGGCATATGTTGTATGCCTCCTCCAGCTCCTTCATAAATGGTGGGATCTTTTTGATCCCCGTCCCGCTGTTATGCATGATGAGCGGAGGGGTGACGAAGAGATGTGGCGCTATATGCAGTATATCGCTGTGGAGCAGTCCTGCCACTTCGGACCCTCTGAACAGAGGCTACCGTGTGTGGGGGTGTATGAGTCACAAAAAAAAAGGCTTCTGTGCGAGGGGTACGTACGAGATAGTAGGAGATGCAAAGTGGGTTATCTGCAGCATGCGCACAAAAACGGCGTGGTATACGCGCAAAATAGGCAAAGCATACGCTCAGAGGAGCAACGGCGCATTCACATAATACGGTCGGCATGCCAACCATCACAGCGCGATCTATCGGATGAACGCTGTTTGTGGCTACTCGATCACGCGCGAACAGATGTTCGTCCTCTGCTATGTACCCTCATCTCTCGTCTAGGGGTCAAATTTGCCCGTCAACGCCAAGCACATCGGTGTAGGTGAATCCCCAAAGCGACGCAACTCATCTTCGCCATTCTCGCATTCACGGTGAATCCATTTTGACAATATTGCTACGCGTGAACCATACGCCCGGGGCGAATTCGTTTTTAATTACCCGCACCCTTTTTTTTTTCTTTTTTTTTTTTTTTGTACATCTCCCCGTGGGTGCGCTACTGGGTGCCTAAGCGCTGTTTTATCTGCCCAATCGTCAGCAACGCGACATGCACATGTTGAAACCGCACTTGTTGACCACGCTTTCGTGCCTGCAATTTCCCCACATGCCCGTTCCGCATTTTAATCGCTAATTTTTTTTTTTTTTTTTCCCTGCCCCACCCATCCAGCCTGTTCGCGCACCGTTTTTCTGTGTTACGTGTTTATTCAGGGGTTTGTTTTATCCCTGCTCTTTAAGGTGTTCGCTTTGTTTCTGTTCCCGAGGCATACGAAAGAGAAGCATCTGTCACTTTTCCCCTCGTAGCAGCCCGATGAGCGGTCCCAGGGAAGATGGCTCCCCGGAGCCATACGCGGACACAAAGGAGGGTGAATCAGGAGACCAGGAAATGGACCCTTTGGACGAATTCATGATGGAAATAAATAAAGTGCTGGAGGAGGAGAAGCAAAAGACGAAATCACGAGAAGAGGACGAAAAAGAAGCAGCGGACAAGTTGGCCCCTAAGAAGGACAGCAATTTTGCACATAGGGAGAAGGAACCCCTTAGGGGAAGCACCCCTAACCGTACAAGAACCTACTTTGTCAGGGAAAACAAAGTTCATGCAGAAAGCAAAGGTAGTCACACCTTGGATAACCATACAAAAGAGAATGATGCACACGATGACGATAGTCTAGATGATAACGATGCCACAGCAGACATTTACGAATTTTTGGAAAAAAAAAATGAAGAGTTGGCAAATGAGAAGAGGCGCGCAGAAGGGCACGGAGGAAAAGGAACCCACAACAGGAACATGATGAATGATGATTCTGAAGATGACGGGGATGACTTCTTCCAAAACGGAAGAGACAGCAACAAGGAAAATGAAATAATTGAAAATGATATCAATTACGATGAGGTGCAGCTGGACAACTTTAATAAAGACATTTTTGTCACAGATGACAGCATCACAGATTTTACCTTGGAAGAAAGTGTCGAGTACAAGAAAAAAAATAATATCACAACCATCGGATTCAGTGTTCCGAAACCTCTTTTTTCCTTTTTGCAATTAAAAAATGTAATAGACAAGGAGGTGTTGGAAAATATGTACAATTTGTCCATAAGCATCTTGTCCCCCATCCAAAGCATTGTCATTCCTACCTTTTTAAGTGGTCGGGATTTTATAGCCAGTAGCAGAACTGGTTCAGGAAAAACCCTTTCCTTCATCATATCTTTGATTATCCACTTGGGAAATTACAAACAAGTTGAGAAGGAAAAAAGGAGAAAAATTTTCCACAAAGAAAGTGACCCTCCGGAGCAGGAACACACAGTGACGTCCCCACCGGGGGAACAACCTCCCTCAATCCCTTCCAAACAAGGTAAAGGCAATGCGTCATCCCATGCGCTGATATTAACACCGACGAGAGAATTGTGTGTGCAAATATTTGACCAAATTAACAAACTCAGTTTGAACAAATTAAAATCGTGTATCCTATTCAACGGCATAAATTACAAAAATGCATATGACGACATTCACCGAGGAGTGGACATCCTAATTGCAAATGTAAAAACGTTAATCAATTTTGTTAATAAAAAGTATCTCTCCCTTACCAAGATAAAGTATGTCATTTTGGACGAATTTGACCGACTTTTTTCGAAGCAGTTTGTCCACTCCGTCACGTCCATACTTAAAAATATAAGGCCAGACGCGATGAAGGGATTTTTTTCCTCCACCTTTTCGGAGCAATCATGTGAACTGGCAAAGCCATACATAAATAAAAAATTCATCATGATCAAGGTGGGCGACAACAACGTTTTAATTGATAAAAAATTTTACATCCTAGAGGACCATGCTAAGTATGACTATCTTCTCAAATGTGTGCAGGCGTGCGCCCCAAGTGGCCAAGGATTTATTTTTTGCAATAGCAAAAAAAATGTGATGAATTTATATGAAAAATTGAAAAGGGAAATCTCACTCAGGCATATATCGTTTGATTACATTTATGGAGACATAGACCAGACGGAGAGGTTATACAAATTGGATTGCCTGAAGAAAAAGAAAACGCAAATTTTGATCAGCACGGACCTTATGGCTCGCGGCATTGACATCATAGACTTGAACTTTGTTATCAACTATGATTGCCCCAACGACATCTTCGTCTACGTCCACAGGATAGGCAGGTGTTCCCGGATGAACAACCGAGGTGAGGAGAGCAACGGGAGGGAAGCAGCAGTGTAGAGCACAGCACTTATGTGTGCTTTCGTCTATTCACCACGTCACCAGTTCCTGTACGACACCTTCAGTGTGTACTTTCGCGCAGCTAGCCAAAATGGCACACACACAAAAGAGCCCCGTTTCACCTGCACATTTTTTTTTTTTTTTTTTTTGCGCAGGACAAGCCATAACGTTCATACAGCCATCAGAAAAAAGAATTGCCTTCCTCATTTATAGCCACTTAAATGACAAAAAGGAAAAAGTGGATCAAGAGCTGGAAAATTTTATTCGCAGCAACAACCTCCATAATGATGCCCAAATGAAAAAAATGAAAAGAAAAATGGAGGACTCCATCTTTGATGTGTCGCACAAGAAGGCAAAGCATCCGGGGAATAACACATCCATGTTGACTGACTTTGCCTTTAAAAAAATGTCCGCGCCATCCAGAAGTAATGAAGACGCTTTAAAAAATCTGAAGGTCTTTACGCCAAATGACGTTTTGACATCCTCCGATGAGGACTACTGAAAGGGGTTCCTTCCCCCCCGTCGTTGCAAATATGTTTCCACCGCGTTGGAAACGCCCCAATTTGAAAAAGAACAGTCGCTGCGTTGGATACGGGCACATGTGTGCACACAAGCATGTATCTACCCTGCCCCATCCACGGCCCCCATTGAACAAATAGACAAACGAAACAAGCGGGAAGTGCTCCCAGTGTGTGCGCGCGCTTTAAAAATGCAAAGGGTGAAAAAGGACAAAAAAAAAAACGAGTGACAAAGGGGATGGAAAACAAGTGACAAATGGGGGACAAAATTGAGCACCCAAAAGGTGCAATTATTAGAGGCAACAAATATTGAACTTTGATCATTCGACGGGGATAAATGAGGGAACCACGCGCGGTATTCAAGCAGGCTCTCATATTCCCGTCCACGCAAAGTATTAACCAAAAAAAACTGGGGCACAAATAATGGGCCCAAAAAAAACATCTCCCCCAGTGCTGCGCTTCCGCCTCACGGAATACTATCCGTGTACTCCTTCTGCAGGTTGTTAAGGAGCTCGTTCACCTTGGTCATTTTTTTGGCTGCCTTCTCCTTCTGTTTTTTGTTTTCTTCCAGCAGTATGTACATTTCCATGTCTCTCTTCTTTATTTTCTTATTTGCGTCTTGCAGCAGTTTGTTTAGCTTGGCGATTTCCTTTTTATTCATCTACGGTGGGCGGTGAGGGTCGACGGGGCACGCCGGAGATGAAGAAGAGCTCACGCGCGTGCGTATGTGAACACGTGCACACATATATGTACGTCCGAAGCACTGCACACATCGTACGCAAAAAAGAACAGAAACTCACGTTGTTGTTCTCGTGTAGCTCCTTGCACCTCCTCTGTATGGCGTACACCTCCTTGTCCTTCTCCTCCACGACGTCCTTAATTTTGCATTCGTATTCGTTGCTGCGGAGGGGAAATACAAGGCAGTGGGAGCACGGTCCCTGGTAGACTTAGTCAATTTGGCAGCGTGCTTGCCAAAGGGACTTTTTTTTTTTTTTTTTTTAATATTGTTTTAATTGTTTCTCATTAGTTTTTAAATTATTTTTCATTCTTTTTATTATTATAATTATTCTTTTTCTTTTTTGTAAAGTACCAGAAGGACTCCTTAATGTTTTCAATTTCCTTGTGTGTGTATTCTATCACATCGTCCTTCATCTTGAGCTTATTTTTCAGTTCCTTGATCTGTAACGGGATCAAAAAAAAAAAAAAAAAAAAAAAAAAGGAAGATAACAACGGAAACGCTTCGTTTTCACAAAAACGCCAACCCAGAAAAGGTTTTATAAATTTCCGCCAAATGTGCACCCCTGCAGAGCGGTACACAGGGGTAAACCGGGCGTGCGTACTCCGTGTATGCGCTTCTCACCTCTTCCTCGCACTTCTTATACTTGGCATGTGCCAATTCACACTTTCGTAGGTAGTCGTCCAGCTCGTTTTCGTACTTTGAAATTAAACTTGTCTTTTCACTTTTGTAATCGTCTAGAAGCTTTTTGTAGTCGCGCTCCATCTTTTTAACTTCGAGCACTTTTTTCTTCACTTCTTCGTCCTTGCTGTTGAGGTCCGTTTTTAGTTTCTGCGAGGGTTGGGTGGGCAGGGTGAGTGGAGTCATGTAGGGGCACTTCAATTATTAGCAGCGGTTAGTGCGCACTATATATCTCTCTCTCGCTGCATCCCTGCACTAACCTCCACGTTGGCCGTGACATCCTCCGTAATCTTATTCTTGACGCGAATGTTCGTGCTGAGCTCGTCGTTTTCCTTGGAAAGTCTGGTCACATTTTCGTCCAAGTCTGTTTTGTCCTTATGCAACTGTGCGATGAGGGTCTCTTTTTCCTTCAGCTGCGCCTGAAGCGTGTCTTTCTCCTCAATCAAACTCTTCTGTTCTTGTAAGAGCTGGTTGTGTGCAGAGAGGGGGATGTAGTTTTCCTCGACGTCCTTTTTAATATATGCAAAAGCGTCCTTCTTTAGCTGTTCGTTTTCATTTCTCATCTTGAGGTAAGCCAATTTGATGTTCTTCAACCCTTTAATGAATTTATCTTTCTCTTCATTGTAGGTTTTCATTTCTTTCATTAGGACCTCATTGACGTTGAGAAGATTTTGCGCCTTTTTTTTCAACTCTTCATTGGTCATTTTAACGTCATGCAGCTCTTCCGTTAGAGAGTTTTTCTCTTCCTGTAGTTCGTTGTATGTGTTTTGGAAGGCTTCTTCCAGTGAATGTACCTTTTGTTCGAAATTATTTTTTTCCTTCTGCACAGATTGCTGTTTGTCTTTTTCAATTTCTTCCATCTTTTCTTTATTTTTCATTTCGTTTTCCTTCAACTTGGACATTATTTTTTTATTTCTACTTTTTAACCGTTCGCATTCTTTAATGAATTTATTTTTTTCCTTACTCAGATTTTGTATGACTTCTTTTTCCTTGCAGTAAAGCATGTTTTGCTCTTCCAATTTGTCTTCCAGATCTTTAATATGTTCCCTGAGCCTTTGTTCTTCCTGTTCCTTCTTGGAGAAAAGCTCCTCATTTTTGGAGGTCATTTCATCCAACATGCCTTTCATCTTTCCATTTTCCCTCAAGCACTCTTCCATGTTGCGCTTCGTTTCTTCTAGCGCATTTTGCAAGGTGTCTTTTTCTGCCTCCTGGGTGAGACTTTTCCCCTCAATTTCGTCCTTTTCTTCTTTCAATTTTGAGTGTTTCTCCTGCAATTTGGAAAACTCCTCCCTCAGCTTGATTACGTCTTCGCTCGATCTGGTTATCTCCTTGTCCTGTTCCTTTTTTTCCCTTTGGAGGACTTTTATCTGGTTGTTAATTTTCTCATTTTCCGCGCTGAGCACATTGCACTTCTCCTGAATTTGCGTGTTCTCATTTAGGAGTAGTTCCTTCTCCTTTTTCATTTTTTCATTCTCCATGCTTAACACCTGTTGGCTTTGGGCCAATTCTACCTTGCCGTTCATAATATTTTTTTCGCTCTGCAGCAAACTTTCCACTTTGTAATGTAAATCTTTGTTTTCCCTCTGGAGTTGCTCCACTTGATTAGTAAGATCGGCGTTTTTTTTTTTCTCCTTGTGATAATTGCTCTCTACTTCTTTCTTCTTGTCCTCGTTCATCTCTTTTTCGTACATAACTTTCTTCATTTTCTCGTCCATTTTATTCAACTGATCATTGTAGCTCCTAACATCCTGTTCAAGTGTTTTAATTTTACTTTCCTTTTCTGTGATGAGATCTTGCTGTGTCTTCAGTTTCACCTTAACATGTTCCACTCGCTCGATATTTTGCCTTAACATATCATCAATGTCGTTTTTGTACTGCTTCAGAATGCTTTCATTAAAGGTAACAATTTTTTCCTTTTCCTTTATGATCTCCTTTAACATGTAAATTTCGGAATCCTTTTTCTTTAGGAACAGGACATATTCATTCATTTTATTTTCGAATTGGATCTTACTCATGGCAAACTGCTCATTCATGTATTTTACTACTTGTTCAAATTTTGTTAATTTTTTGTCTTTGCTTGTACATGTGTCCTTTAACTTTTTCAGGTCCATTATCATGTGGTCTATTTTCTTTTCATATTCCTTAATTAGTGTTAATTTTGTTTTATATTTTTCTTTGTTTTTGTGAAATGTCTTTTCCATTTTTTTGTATCTGATCATTTCTCTTTGTAAACTTTTCACTTCCCTTTTGAGTCGGCTGTTCCTTTCGGCGAACATCTCCACTTGGACCGGCTGCTCCTCGACCGTCGCCTCTACGACGGGACCCCTCTTACGCGCCCTCGCGCGGGGAAGAAACTCCTTTGGGGGGTTCGCACTGGGCCAGTCGTCTGCAGCAGTCGCATTGTCCGCATGGTTCGGGTCGTCCAAATTGCCCACATCATCTGCATCCAGGGTGTCGTGTCCTTCAACTTGTCCTTCCCCTGTTGGCCCTGTCGCACAACCCGCCTCCTCCACTTCGAAGCTACTCGACGAATTTTTCCGTGTCCCTTCGGCAGTGTGCACCTGTTTGTCGCGCGGCTGTGCCGTTTCACCTCCGACGTCTTCATCGCTCTGAATGGCCTCCTGTCTAAGCAGGCTCTTCAAATTGTGCAATTTGCTCAAGTAATGGTCAAACTCCAAGTGGTTCTCATCCTCCCCATCACTGTCATTCGAGTTTATTATGTTCCTTACTTCCTCCGAGAGGTCCCCATATGAGGGGTTCCCCACGTCGTTCACGTTTTCCGCCCCCTTGTGCAGGTTAGCATGCGTCCAAGTGTCTTCATTCTGTGCTGCAGCGTTTGCGTCAAAATTTTCTGCACCGTTCTGGCTATCTTTCCCCTTATTATTTAAGTTACAAATATTTTGCTTGAGCAATTTTTTCCTCCTCATCCTCTCCTCGCGTTCGACTTCGTCTTTGCCCGACGGCACACCCGTCTCGGCTGCGCTGTTACATTCGTTCAGTTCAAGTCTGTCCTGGTTGTTCTGTTTTTCGTTTGGGATGTATTCCATTTTTGTCGTCTCCACATTATGTTCGCCATCTTCTGCTCCAGGGGCTTCCCCAGGGGGGGTGGCCACAAAGTTGGGATTACTCTGCGCGTCGTCACCACTGCCCCCTTGTCCGCCACTGGGAACACTCCTATCGTCGCCGCCTGCGTCTCCATCTCCGTTACCATCACCTCCGACACCCGCACCGTCGCAATGCTCAGAATATGTTTTTCCTTTTTTTGCGCTCTTTTTTTTTTTCTTCTTTTTTTTAACTTTATTTGGAGTGTTCTTCTTGTGGTCTGCGTCCTCACCGTCGACCGCGTCACACATGTGCTTGTCATCATGCGAGATTTCACTCGCGACGTCCTTTGTACCACCGTTCTCTTCCTCCCCACCTACTCCCCCCTCGTGCGAATTATCAGTGGGTTCCTTTTCCTTACTCTCGTAAATTTCGTCTTCCCCTGTGTTCGCGTATCCCTCTGACTGTCTCGACTCCTCCACGTTTTGGACTTCCCCCTCCTCATCAACATCGCTAAAGGAGAAGTTGTACCTCTTGTACTGCTCCTTTATCTTTTGCAAATCTAGGTACTCCCATTCGTTGCTGTCATTAGCCACATGGCCCTGCACAGCAGAGGCAGATGCTTCACCATTAGTAGCAGCCTCACCAGTAGGGTCGTTAAAAACATACGCGCTCTCCAAAAAAGGGGCGTTCCTCTCCTGAACAAACGGATCCATTATACTTTTTCCCGTTTCTTCATCTTGTGCGTCATCACCAAGTGGTTCGTAAAGTGCATCATTATCAATATTGGCCATATCATCAAAATTATATTTTTTTAAATTCTGCAACACGTCTAATATGTTTTTTATTTCGTTGTCGTCTTCGCTGTCTGCCTGCTTGTCGTTCTGTTCGGACGGGTTCATTCTTCCGAGTCGCTCCTCTTTGTCACTCTCTACGAAATTGGAGCCGCGTGCGCAATTGGCGGTATTCTTCGCAGTGTTCGAGTCAGTACCTGCCAAAGCAGCATCGGCCCAATTGACACCCTCCAAGCCTTCATCCGTGCACATGGCACCCGTAGCATACACAGAATATGCAGCGTCAACAGCACTGCATTGTGCATCTTGTTCGGTTCTTCCCGCCAGGGGTACCTCCTCAGAAAAGCTAACACCCATGTGCATAAGCTCGTCTTCACTCTCCTTCTTTGCCGGATCTGCTTCGTCATTCACGTCTATGTTGATGAGGTAACTGTGTCCTTCATCACTGCTCCGTAGTTTTGAATGGCTACACAGTGGATCGTCCACATTTCTACTCCACTCTGGAGCTTCAAAACTGTTCATCCCTCTGCCCTTGGCATAGGAACTGGCATCGTCAAGCACACTGGCTGCTTCACCAAGCATGCTGACTTCATCACCAGGCACGCTGGCCTCATCACCAGCTACCGTATCTGCATCACCAGCCACACTAGCTGCACTTTCCTGCTTATCATTAAAGTAACATAACCCCCCTCTTATTGTTTTTGCTTCATCAGGTGGCTTAGACAAACCTTTTCCCCTCCTGCTCTCCTTAATCTTATACACACACCCAATTTTCTTCTCCATTTTTGATGTGAGCAATTTGCCTTGCCGAGTACGTTTATATTGGTATACCTCCCATGTTAGTTTTATTTCGCGGTAGCAGGTGCTACAATGGTTTGCACACTCACTGGACGAAGCGACACCGACGGAGGGGTGAGGCCTCTTCCGATTGGACAATTTAACGTGAGCGCAAACACAACTACAGTTATTCTTGTTCACGCGTCTGGGAAGTCCTTTCCCGTGTTGGCGTTTCGTCCAGGCTGGCTCGTCCCGATTTACTTGTCGGCTTCCTCACGCCCCACCCACGTACAAAATCTGCGCATTCCTTTGGGCTGTGAAAAAGCTTGTGTGCTCCGTGCTTGGCTTAAAATGGCTCTGCCTTGAATCAGCAGGGAACAATGCCACACAAATAAAAAAAATGCATATATAAACAGGCACACATGCACAGGCGTACACATATAAATACATATACATATGCATATGTGTACACATCCTAGTGAACATACCTCCACTTAGCACAAAAAACGCGCTAGGGTTGAAGCGAAAAAAAATAAAGAAAAAATTCTCTTCCTGTGGGAAGCTTTCTTCTTGTTTGGAGCATAGGAGAATCGAATAACACGTACATTTCGAACATTGCACTTTTTTTTTTTTTTTTTTTTTTTTTTTCCTGTATTGATAATTTGAAAGGTCGTTTTATGCAATTAGGGAATGACCCATTTAACCATTCTGGCTTATTATTGTTTGCTTATTTTGTTATTTTATTTTTTTGTGCACATATTACTGCGTTGAGGTCCCTGTTTTTGTGTGTGTTACAAAATTGTTTTGACTTGCCAGGTGAGGGAAATTGGCGGAGAATGGATATAACTTTTCTCCCCACGTGGCGAAGGGGAGAACGCGAACCATATTAAGTGCGCGCTGCGTATGATTTTAAGTAATGAAATTTATCATAACCTAGTGTAGCTTAATTCATTTTCCTTTTTTTCCTGTTTTTTTTTTTTTTTTCTACACATCGGAAAGGTTAAGTGACCACTTCATGGAAGCCAGGAGAAAACACGCGCAGCGCACCCCCCATGGAGAGGGTCCCACTTACAACTCCAAAGAGGCAACTCAAAAAAAGCGTTCTCATTTGAATGGATTAGACATATGGCTTATCAAACGGGAACACGAGAGGGGGAAAAAAAAAAAATTTATTTACATAGGTACCAATGTAGTGACAATTTAGTAACCTCCATTTTGCCACCAATTTGTTCGTCTAAAATGGGGCGAAATGACCAGGGGGATCTCCACCAGAAGGGGCGAGAAAATCTGGTGTATACAAGCATATATGTGCATGCCTGCGGGAAACGTGTCGTCACAGCTTCTCCTTTAACAGCCGCATGTTAGCCTTCACGAGACAAGTGCATCGTCCCCAGCGCCCAGCATAAATGTGTATTTTCCGCTTGGATAAAAAATGAGGAATTGCTACATATAAGTACCTTCACAAGCGGTTACACAACAAAGCTCGTTACAACAATACTGGTTACTATTTCGTGGTGGACCCTCTGTTGTCTGCCGTAAAGGAGAAAGTAGTTGATCATAAAGGAGGAATGTTGCCGCCTCGTCCTATCCTGCTCCCCAGGTCAGTTTTTTTTTTTTTTTTTTTTTCCCTCCATCGATATACTACGAATTAGCCCCTACATTCGTGCGTGCTCCCCATTTGAAGGCTGTCTACTTTAAAAATTATCTTATCACCCTGTACTACTTATGCAATATATTGCGGTGGCTTTATGTGGTTTAAAGAACAAGCTAAATAAAAAGGAGGATTTCCAAGATTGGGTTCTACATCTGTGCTGTTCACATGTGTTCATTTATACACACGAAACGATATATGGACAGTGTTCCTTCCTGTGCGCGCATGTGCGTATATGCACTGGCGGAGGTGCGCCTAATGGGGGGAACCCAACCGACCATCTCACTGAAGGAGAACAGGACAAAAGTTGTAACTATCGTGAAGGTGATGACGAGGGAGATGATATACCCCACGCATGCTGTTAATTGCTAATGATGAGACGTGTCTGCTGTATTTGCACCATCGCACCCATTCCAACGTGGGGGATAAGTGAACATGCTTAAGACGGCCATACGATCAGGAACGCAGTGAAGCAATTTTAAGTAGTCCAAATGGTACTCCTCGTAGGCCAGAGCAAAGTGGCGTACGCAAAATAAAAGCGGAAAACGACGATGAAGACGAAGGGTCCGAAGAAAAAAACATACAGTATATCATGACAAAACGAAGTCGCCTCAGAGGGGGGGAAAAAAAAAAAAAAAAATGCATATCCAAAAGGAACAAAATGTAGCATACATTTAGTTACCTACGCGTTATGTCATAATTATACGTCCGATTATATAGACGTGTTATATACCTGTGACGAAGATACACGTTTTCCGCGCCGCCTCGCGCGCTCTCCCATATATAAGCGAAAAAAAAAGGAAAAAAAAAAAAAAAAAAAAAAAAAAAAAAATTCCAATAGTGATAGTAAATTGCAATTGCAATGACATTGTGGTATCCCAACAAATTGACGAAAAAAGTATCACCAACGTACTTCCATTTTCGTTGAAGGAATTGTCACTGCCCCTCGCCCCCACTGATGGGACAATAAAGCATGTGAAACGTTCATTTGCGTAGAACTGCGCGAGGTTAATATTTCGCCTACATTTGTGGGGATGACCTCGTGCAGCATATGCAAAAAAAAAAAATAATAAATAAAAAGGGGGAACACTATTTATACGTACCGTTCCACGTATGTAAAGCATACTGTTGAAGCGGCCTTCGCGTGCTACGTATGTACAAGGCGCGGCCGTGCATGCTGACGTCCATATAATTATTATGCATTCGCAACATCTCACGATTCAGTTACGACTGCACGACCGCACGCCTGAGGCGTACGTCGCGTTAGGGGGGAAACCATGGCAGCACGAAAAACACTACCCAGCACAGCGTGAGCCACATCCCATCCATCCGCAACCCAATAGGAGGCAGCGTAGCACCATCTCTGCAAAGCAGTCTGCCCCAATAGGTAAACCAAATATTATTGTGAACAAAAATAAATGGCCATACGTGTATAAAGCTGTAGCATTTCGCTGCACAGTCCGAGAAATGTTATTACACATAGGACCGCATATAAAAGTATGGGTACGTGTAAACACCTACGCGTGCGCGTACCTTTTACATGCACTATGTAATAATTGCCCTGTGCGTAAGTGCAAGTTATCATGACGAATGAGGAGGTCGCTGAATTGGGTAAAACGAACCGATGACACGCCTGCGGATTTTCGCGCTTGTTAAATGATGAAAACGACAGCGAGGCAGCCAGGGCACGTGTCAGAAATCTTCAAAAAAAAAAAAAAAAAAAAAAAGAATCTCCTAATAAAGTGCGGAAGAACCAACCCCAGGATATGTCACCCCCCGGAAAGAACAAAAAGTGTGATAAAACAAGTTGACTAATCAGTAGAGAGGCATACATGCTCGGATAGTGGCAAGCGAACCATGCCTCCCACAGACCCTTCATTCGACGTGCTACGAAAAAAGGAAAACATGGATTCGAGGAGAGAGCACAGAGATAAAACCAGTCCAGTGAAGGGTGTGAATTTTAAAAGGCAGAAATTAAGTGATGGGGAAGACTTCTGGGCATCTGCAACCCTGTGCCAAAGTCCGGACAACACCCGCAATGGGGGATGCTTAAATAAAAATAGGAAAGCCAAGGGGATCAGGCGCTCCAGTGGAAGTAGTGAAAGTGAAGGCTGCTTCCGGGGGAATCACAGTAACCTATGTAACAATGTGGTGAAGACAGAAATGGAAAGCACCGCACCAGGGCGTTACCACCCCATTGATTACAAAAATGGTTACTCCAACAACACACACACGCTTGAGGAGGAAGCGGATATGGTAACGGGCAAACACGTGGGGAAAGCAAATAGTGCGGGCAATCGTCAACCCCGCACCCTGCGCAACCACGTCAGTGACACATACAAGGCTCTCATCAACATTTGTTTGAATGAAATTAAAAAAAGTGCAAACGCAGAAGATGTGCACGATGTGTATAGGGTCCTTAAAAACAAGGACCTCATATTTGACGATGAAAAAATGAGCGGCAACGAATTTGACAGGAGCAAGGAACAGTTTCCCCGTGGGAGCACCTCCTCCAGTGGGTCAAGAGCGTCACCCCTTAGTCATAGACAACACTGGGACAACTCTGAATGTGTTGAGAAGGGTGAGAGAGTACCCCACTATCGAGTAAATAGGAAGAGGAGCAAACCGAGCAGCACCTCTGTTAGAAGCAGGAGGGGGCGAAGTGGCGCGCTGAAGAGTTGTCATAGGGAAGGCGCAAAGGGGGATGATAAGGAATGGAGTGATGAAGAACAGGAAGATGACAGCTCCCCGCATCCCGCATCAGCCGATAGGAACACGGGAAGGGGCGAAGTGCAGAAGGGTGTCACAAGTGACCAATCGGCTATTCAAGATGATGACTCAGATGAAGGAGGTGGAGCAGACAAACGGGGTGAAGGTGGCGGAGGAAGAGAGAAGCTCCTCGCTTCAGCGGATGAAGAAGACGCAGCGCGCTTCGCCAGGAAGAAGCTGAAAACGGGGATGGAGAGAAATATCAATCAAATAGAAGGCATCAATCGGAATCGCAGCGGTGGAATGCACCTGGCCAGACCCACCACTAGGGAGAAAATTGAATCGGACATGTACAATATCTTCAAAGGGGTTATTAACATGCTTACGTGTAAGTACCCACAGCACAACATAAAGGAGTTCTTCTTCAGCAGCCAAGACAAACTCAAAGAAGAGTATGAAGTTAACAAAAGTAAGTCTATACAAATAACTAGGTACCACTCCAACAGGTGTAATAATATCTACACCAAGATCAAGCAAGAACTCTTTTACGTCACGAAAAACACCAAACTGAGGAATCACATAATTAATACAAGGTACATGTTCGATGTTTATAATTATTGTGTAAAGAATATTAAGAGGAACATAACTGTACTTTCTCATTTCATCCCAAACAAGAAGGACTACAAATTTATAACCAAAATGATGTTTAATCACAATTGTGAAAATGTGGTAACTTCCGGAAAGGATGGTTATATAAAAATCTTCCATGCCATGACGGGAAACCTAATCCTCTGCATTAAGGCACATCAGAATGCCATCACTGATTTTGATGTACACCGGTCGGATAAGTATATTCTTTCCTGTGATGAGAAAGGGGTCGTCAAATTTTGGCTAATTGATAAACACAAATTTAAAACTCTCTTCACGTATAGAAGATCCTTTCTAATGAAGAACGTACACTTTTTTTATCATGAAAAAGGGAATAGTCACAATCGAAATGGTACTTACAAAACGTATGCCATCTGCTCCACCAACTCCTACTTCTTCATCATCATTTTTGATGACCTCAGTAATGATTCACACTTATTATACTCCATGGATATAAATGTTGGAGTTGTTAAATTTTTCCCCTACCTTCAATTCTCCTATTCTCTAAGTTTTAACGTGTCCCCCTACATGTACAACTCTTTCGTCATGTCCAATGGACCCATCAGAGGATTAAAGAATTCCTACCTCATGTTCATCAATACGTCTAGCCAAGACACTGATAAGTGTTGTGAGAAGAACGATTTTTCTAACACCACCAATTATAAGAGGAGAAAAAAAAAACCCACGTTTTTGCTCCTCACATCCAAGCCGTACTACGATAATGAACAACGAAGTGACGAATTGCTTAGCATCACACCCAATGATATGAACATTATCAAATATGTTAATAGAATTGATGAGAGTAAGTATAGGAGTGCTCAGACCGATGATGTGATTGAACTGACTTACAAAGATGAAAAAAAAAAACAAAAAATGAGTGATGAAGATCTTTCCTATGCTAAAATTTTCCATTGTTTAGAGATCAATGTGTTGCAAAATAATACAAAGAAGGATATTGGTTTCTGTCTCTTCAAACGGTTCGAAGATTTCAACAAAGAGATTGTCCGCGTCGCCTTCTCCAACCGCTCTGCTGACTTCCTTACTGTGCAGTTTAACGGTTCTATATATCTGTGGCACTTCCAGAGTTACATAGACGAGATGGCGCGCAACAGGGGGAGAGGCAACTCTTCCCACAGTAAAAGTGTTCACAATGGTGGACGTGACAAAGTTAATGTTTGCTGCTTTTACACCTCCCTGTACGTCGAATTTTTTCTCGAATCCTTGGCCCTCAACGAGAGCAACAAGGCCAAGGGAGGCAGAACTGACTTGGGAGGATGCCAGGGCAGGGGCGACGATGCGCGCAAGCCTGGTGATAGGAGAGATCAAAAGGGTACCATAAACAACAATGCCAAGAACGACGTAAATGACGAAAACGAATATGATAATTTGTTTGTCATATCTTCTACGTCCTGTTCGTCATACTGCTACTCCTCCAGCGGAAATGAATATGTGCCAAGGGTCAACAGGGAGAAGGAACTCAAGAAGAAGCGGCTCCTTAGGGCACAGCGGGAGGTCAACATTGGCGGGAATGCACCGCTGGGAAAAGGGGTCCTCGAGGAGAAGGACAAGTCAGGAGCAGCCAATAACGTAGACACTGGGGGCAGTAGCACAATAGGAGTAGACCCGGCGGAAACGAACAACGGCAGCGTCATCATGGAGAGCATCGTCCACAGTAGCGGTAGTGCCAGTGCAAGGAGAAGTGCAAATGGAAATAATAGACTCGACACAAATCGGCTTGCATCCAACCGTGTGGAAACAATTCATCTGAGCACGAACCGCTTCACGGGAAATCGCTTCACAGGGAGCCGCCTCGCCGCGAATCGCCTGCACACTAACCAGGCGGCTGGAAAAACAAGTACACAGTGCGTATACAACGAGAACACAAACAATAAGCCCAAAATGAGAGCCAAAAAATTAAATTACAAAATTAGTAACGTCTCTTTTAACATGTCTGACGAATATCTAATCGTAGCTGATGGCATAACTAACAAATCAAACTCTTCAAAGGAAGACACCTTTGCAGTGACCATGAAGACTAACCTGTCCATATTCTGCTTAAAGACCTACGAAGAAATTAAAAACTTCGACCTAAAAGAATGCAACAGCTATGTGAGTTTTATCAAGCCAAACCCTTTCTTCACAGATGTAATTCTCTTCGCCTGTTTTAGAAAATACATTTATTTGTTAAATGTACAAAAGAAAAAGATTATAAAAAAATATTCTTACGATAGCGAGTTGAAAAATCTAAGTGCCGAGTGGAGTCAAAATGGCTATCTCTTCATCGTCTCCCACAATTATGGTTACTTCTCCATCTTCACACTTAACAAAAATGCTTCTTATAAATTGACTCTATCTGATCAAATCACTTCGTATCAACTTTGCTCTTTCAACGAACCCAGCATTAACGATGTGACGCACAATTTTGATAATGTTAATTCTCTACCAGATGTTTTTATGTATGACACTTTTGAGCCAAATAATATAGAGGGCGCTGTTGATCTTGTGCGATTTAACAGTGGTGCGGGAGGAGCAGCAGCAATGGCAGCTGGTATAACTGCTCCTAGAGGGTTCCTTTTGGGGGAAGGGATAAACAATACATCTAATTTTAACACCGGTGTGGAAGTCACAGGAGCGGGTAGAAGCTTCAGGAACAATTGGAGGGGAGCCATCGGCTTTGGTACCTCTGCGAGAATTGGCTCCAATACAAGAAACGGTATTACTACGAGGAACGGAGAAACTACAAGGAATGGAATCGCTACACGCAATAGCAGCAAACGCAACGACGCGAACAGAAACAAAGGCAGAAGAGGCACCCGCAGAAGCAACCGAATTATAGAGGACAGCTCGGAGCTCTCCTGCTCGGCCAACTCAATTTACACACTCTACACGGACAGCAACTCGAAGAACTCCAAAATATCGGTGCAGGATGAGGGAGAAACTGGGGATTCCAAGAAAAAAAAAAAAAAAAAAAAAAAAAAAGGCTCTTCTGATGAAGGCAGCGTAAATAGCCCTAATGATGAAGTCAAAATCATCGACAAAGATACCTTCCAGGGGAGGGAAGACAAACATGTTATCAATTTGGAGAACATCCCTTCGAACAGGGAGGAAGTCATCAATGTTGAAGATGTGCACCGAGAGTGCATTAAGAATAATTCCAACCGAAGGAAAGAAGTCATTAACCTTGATAATGTCCTGAGTGACAACTACTCCTATGGGTTTAAGAGTAAAAGGACGGCAAGGAACAGATCGACGGCGATGAATGTGGGAACCAGGTCAAGTGCAGCCAATACGGCAGGTGTGCGTACGAGAAAGAGGCTGCATATAGTTAGAAACGAAGGTGCAAAAAATTTAAGTAGTCAATCGAATGACCATTCCTCCAGTGGAAGTGGAAGTGGAAGTGGAAGCGGAAGTCACAGTGGAATTGATGATGAGTCTGGAGGAAGCTCCAATGGGGAACACACATACCAAGTTAGGAAAAACCCATTCCTACCAATGAAAAAGAGAAAAAACAGAAATGTGCCATCTTCAGATTTTAAATCTAAAAGCGATAAACACGATGAGTGCTTGTTAACGCCAGGTTCTTCTCACCCTAGGGAAGGAGCACAGTACCCCTACGACATCAGCATTAACAAATTAAAAGAATTTTTCAGTGGGGAAAAACGGAAGGAAAACGAACAGGTCATGCAAAGGGATCGGTACATGAGTGATGGGGATACCGATTTCGAAAAATGTAGTTCTATTAATTTTTTTAGTGACAATTCAAATTATGGTAGTTATTCTGATGATCTGTTTATCGACTTACCAAGAAGGTGCAGGATGGGTTCGCTCCAGAGTGGGAACAACCACATTTCATCATACGAATCGGACCTGCATGGACAGCTAAAGCATGTGAGTAGGAGAGGAAACCCAGGTGATCGAGTCGATGGTGCGTCGTGCAAGGGAAGGTGGACGCCACATTGTTCAAACGGCATGTGGGCAGAGGAGCGGGCCGCCAAGGGGGGAAGGAATCCCTGGAGTAGCGCCAGTAGTAGCAGCGAAGAGGACGATTACGATGACCATTACGATGACCGTTACGATGACGACGAGGAGGACGACGCATGGCATGGCGAAGCTGCCACAGATGACGGCAGAATCGCTGTCGCTGCAGAGCGTACCGCCCGCCGAAAGAACAAACTGCGCAAGGAAGGAAAACCCCCCTGCCTGCTAAACTTCACCAACTCAAACATTTTGGTGGACAAGAAATTTAAAATATACGAGCAGCACCTGCAACCTCTGCTTCCAAAATTTTCTAGCTTCAATTGCAGTACAAACTACCTGGATAAAATTAGGACCTCCCCGGTAGACCCCATATGCGTCCAGCTCAACTACTTCGCCCAAATGTGCCGCAGGTTGAAGAGGGAGAACACCATAAATTTAAAGTCCCTCCTAACCTTTGACGTTCTGTACAAAGCGTTGATAAATTATGGAGCAAGTGGCGGTGTTATGACCATTGGTAGTATGAAGGCAGGTGCTCACAGTGCGTGCGGTGCCTCTCCCACATCAGATCATAAGAAATGGTTCAACCACAGAGGGGCGAGCGAAGCCCACGGAAGTGCCCTTGCAGAGGTGAAGGGCGAGCGTAGGAGCAGCTCAGTTAGTGATGGATACCATTGCGTAGTTGATATGGATGAGCGACTCATTCACCAAGCTGCCAACGCCAAGCAGCACTTCCAGGTGGTCAATAGCAGGGGGGACGAGGAGCCCCTGCCCAGGATGCTGGCCCATAGGAAGAATGAGAAAAGTGAGGCGTTCCTCCGTCTTTTGCGGGGTTGCGCTAGGGGTAGAGTTGACGGTACATTTGGCAACGCATTGGGTAGCGCACTTAGCAGCGCATTGTGTAATGGAAAGAACAGAGAGGATAATCCCCCCTCCGAGACGGACAGAGACCCGCAAGGGCAGCAGCACCCCTTCGGCGCAACGCTAACCAGGTGCATAGAAACGTTCAAACAGAAAAGCGGAGGCAAGGACAAGTACAAAATGTGTTATATGAACGCCGTGAGAGTAGGCCGATCGTACAAAAGATTTATAAATGTAATATCAACCTGTGACAATAGTAGTGTCCTAACACACTATAGCAGAGGAGGAAAAAGGATCCCCGCAAAAAACTCCTTCCAACATCAAATGGATGAAATGAGCCAGTCATTGCTCTACCAAGTTTTGAAGAAGTTTCCCTGTAGAGAAGAAGAAGATATTGATAGTTTTATTTATTATAAAAAAAAGACCTACTCAGAAAAAAGTATTAAGGAAGTTCTTCAGTCTTATTTGAAGCATTACAATTATGTCGAACAAAACATAGAGCAATTTGACCATAGGTTGTTCATTTACACAAACGACAACCGAATGCTTTTTATGAATTCACACACGATGAAATTGTTAAAGGTTTTACAAGAGAACTATTGCAAAAGCTTAATTAGAGAAAGTTTCAACCTCATGAATAATACCCAGCTCAAAGGAAGAAATTGTATAATTAAAAATGTCGACGGGATCAACAATTGTACCTTCCTGAACCCATACTCCTTATATCTAAGGTCCACTGGAAATTATGATTTTCTAAACTCCAGAACTGTTCAGAATACTCTACTCTCTAGTTATGCTAGGTACAATGAATTATTTGCCATGTTTAGAGGTAACATGCAGGTGAACAATGTGGGAAGTGGAGTTAGTGCACGTAATGTTGCGAATGGGGCTAACGCTACCAACCTGGCCAATGTCACCAATACAAACAACACCATCAACGTTACGAACTTTTTATTGAACTATGAAAATGTTTTAAGCTCAGGAAGGAATACAGATATTGCTGTGATAAGTGAGCATTCTTCAATTTTCACCAGTGACCAATCAGCCAACTTCTTTTCAGAGGATGAAGAAGACGATGATGACGACGATGACGATTATGTTTCAGATGATTATGACTTTGGATACCACCACGCATCGAGCTCTTATTCGAGAAGGAACAATAGAAGGAACAGACGTAGGGGCACTACCAGAACTTCCAGAAGAACCGCCAGCAGTAGACGTAGGACCAGGACACGCAACAACAATAATAATAACACTCCTAGAAGAACCTCCGCTAGGAATAGAAAAAACAATGAGAAGAAAAATTACAATTGTGATGCGGTCGTCCATGTTAATGTCAGGAAAAGCGATCGCCTACGAAATAAAGAAATGAACAGACGAGAGAACAATGGTGGGGGAGCGAGCATCAACAATGGAGATGATGATTTGCTCAATGATCACGGTGATGACTTTTTTAACAACGGCAGCAGCAGCAGGCACCTCAGAAACAGCTCCTCCAACTATTACAGAAGCCGCTACAACACAAGGTCTTCCAACACAAACCGCGACTTTACTTGACCCCCATCCTACCAAGCGAAGACGCGTGTTAAGTTTTCATTCCACAAAAAACGTTGCTCCCCTTTTCGCTGTGGAAACTTTATTTTATGTTGCCATGTTTTTTTTTTTTTTTGTTTCTTCCTTTTTTTTACACCAACCCTTGTGTCACTTTTTAGTATAATTTGTAGAGTTTGAGTAGTTCAAGCGATCCTTTCCATTTTTATATGTAACAACGCAAGCGTGTGTTTTTTTCCCTCTTTTTTTTCATGCCGCAAATTCCTCCCCGTACGTGACCACACGCACGCGACGTTGCACATCAACGGTCTGTGCCCGTTTGATTTTTCCGTGTATATATTTTCCTACAACGCAACGTGAGGCCTTAGCTTCTGAAGGGGAAGAGTGACAAAATGAATGTCCCCATTTTGCGCAAAAATAGTGCCAGCGTCTTTCATGAGATACGTGGCTCTGTGTTCTGCCTGTTGCCGCGAAGTACCCCAGTGATGACCTACTTTGTTTTCTTCATTTGTGCTTTATTATGTTTCAAATGTGCGTCCTGCACGCGCCGATGTGGTTCTAGTGTGCTTCCCTTTTTTTTGGTGGGGGGCCACATTTGAAGCTGCAGGGTAAAGCCCAAACACGCTTGCTTACACGTACATGTATCGCCTTTTCTGCGCGCCTTCTTCTTCTTCTTCTTTTTTTTTTTTTTGTCGTATGAACATGAACCAACCGCATGTACCGCTTTAAGTATGAAGTAAGCACGTCTTACGCGAATTAGAAATCGTAACGGGTGTGTCCAGGGCTAGCGCACTTCCAACCGCCTCGTCGTGCCGATCCCCAGAACGGGAGTGAGACACATACACAAGAGAAGCACAGACTACAATGTGTAGAAGATTCACTTCCCATATGTTCCTCGTAGAATGGGGAGGGCGGGGGGACAGATCCCATTTGTGCTCCGCTCATGTTTGCCACCTTTTTTTTAGAGACAACACTATTCACCCATTTAGGGTTCCGTCGGGGTGCAGAAGTGGCTCTCTCAAATGCATCCACGTTGGAATGCACTGAAAGAAAAAAAAAACGCAACTAAGTTGAAGCTGTTAAAAAGGTCGTTACAATCTCTTGCTATGCCAACCCCCCAAATGGCCCTAAACCAAGTCGCAATTTCTTTTCTTGCCTCAACCCCCTCACCACAACCTTTTAGTCCCTCGTCAAGTCAAGCATATGCAGACTTAGGAAAAATTAATATTTATTGTATTTTTTTTTTTTACAAAAATGTAAGGGATAAACAGTGTTCAAGGGAGGGAAAAATCTACTTTTCTGCTCTCCCCCTTTTGCTGCATTTATACTTCATTTAAAAAGGTAAGCGACCAGTGGTGGCACTCATCACTAAGCGCTCACCTGGCGCGCACAAAAATAATGTATACGAACATGTTACTCGAACCCATGGCTAATGTCCGCATTGGGAACGAGCGCGCCTTATTCTGTGCACTCGAGAAGCATCCCCTGGGAGGATCACATAGCACCAAATACGACGTATTGTTAGCCGACGCGAATGTTCCGAATGCTTAACTTGGACGTTCATATAATGCTTGCGGAAATAAAACTGCAAAGTGCCAACTGTGGGGAATTAGCTCCCATGAACGTATATATATAAAAAAAAAAAACAAAAAAAAAAAAAATGGGAAAAGGAATGAAAGAATAAGAAGGGAAAATACACGCGGAAGCTAAGCAAGAAGTGAACATATAAATTTGCAGTACAAACGCTTTCGTGTCATTGGGTCTTTGCATGTACTACATATATACATATGTAAGCGTGCAACACTGTGAATATATTTTTTTTTATTTTTTCTCCTTTTGGCATGCCTCCTATTAGTAGCCACAAATGTTCCTCTCTCATTTGTGCCTCTGTGCTGAACCTGCGCGTTCACCTTACTAATCCTCACCAACAGGGCTGCTTTTGAAAGAGGCGTCCATCGACGACACCCCAAGGAAGACGCAGCTGTGTATGTATATATATACATACATACGTATACATGCGTATACACCTATGTGCTTACCTGGTGAGGACTCTGAAGACTCCCCTCGCCCCGTCCTCAGCCCCACTGCTCAAAACCGAAATTATTAAAATGATAAAAAAAGTATGAACAGGATAACTCTGTACGACTTTATATTAGATGAAGTTAGGGGGGGGAGGTACTATGACTCGTACCTGAGTGACGGGGAAAACGCCGAGGGAGGGGTGGAACGGAAGGGCAAAAAAAATTTAAATGAAGGGAATGCTGCAGTAAAAGGGGCAACGAAAGAGCCCAACACTGGTCAAACAAATAACCCCGGAAAGGATGACCGCCAATACGATTTTTACAAATTTTTGGACACCTTTTTTAAGACAGACTCCATACCAGAAAATGCACTTGAACACATGTTGAACGTGCCATACTTCCTGGAGAAAATTATGAGCTTTTCTTTTCTCCTCTGCTTAGATAATATCCTTTACGACATTACGTTTATGCCTGTACAAGTAATACGCTCTCTGTCCATTTTGCTATACACATTTCTCAAGAATACTGGTCATAATTTTCTGCGTCATTTTTGCAATATAAAAAATTTTAAATTTTATAAATATGCAACAACGTATAATCATAAGGATTTAAAAAAATACAAAGCGAGGATGATTAAAAGTTCAAATAAATTTTCTCCAAATGAAAGAAGAAAAAGAATAGTGTTGAAAAAAAATAAAAGTATGGAAATTGATAATTCGTCAGGGAAAAAAAATTCAATTGAATGTTCATTCATTTTGAAAAATAATTCTTCGAAGAATTCCTTTTTTGGACATCATCGTGTAAACTGTTTATCCTACAACGTCAATTACTCCAACTCAGATGAAGTCAGTTTCGAGGGAGTAAAAAGCATGTCGGAGAATAACTCCATCGACACGAATGTTGTGTTGAGTAAATTAAGAAGTTTAAAAAAATTGACTAGCAGCACGGACCCGGGCGCCAGCTGTGATAAGGGTGCCATCCATCTCTGCAGTACGCATGGTGCCTCATGCACAAAGCACGACAGTTGTGAGAACCACCCATGCTGTGCGGACTGTCCGATTGGAAGCTCCGGCGAATACACAAATGGGAGACCACTTCAAAATGGCGACTCCATCACAGGTGTGAAAAAAGACGACGCCGACCAATTGAGGGACGCCTATCTTGAGAGGAGAAAAAGGAGAGCCCAGATAAAATATAACAAGAGAATGCTACAAATACTTAATAAAAAGTCGATAGAAAAAAATTCCCATCGAAGGAGAAAGACAAATCGCCTATCCTATCTCCTTCTATTTGAACCTCTCGCATTTGCGAAAAGGAACATATGCCATCTTTTAAAAAATTCAGCCCAGACTGTGTATGACGTATTCAAACGCCTCTGCATCAGAGTGCTGCTATTCTTTCACATGAACAGACTCTACTCGTGTAGCATTTTTAAGGCCGAGGAGAACAAGAAGATTGTTACCCGATCGTTCGAGGCCAAGTTCCTGGGAAGTGGCAAAAAGGGCAGCGGCCAAGCGGAGGAAAATCTATGCGGAGATGGCGAAGCGACGGAACAACCCCTTGACAATCCGACCGACGAACTGCCCACCCAGCCAGAGGGCGAATCAGCGGAAGCGGCACAACATGGCCAAGTGCGCAAAGGGGACAGTCCAGACCAGGCAAGTCATGTAACACAAAAGAAGGAGGAACCCTCAAAGGACAACTCATTGTTCCTTCCAATCAATAACCGACGAAGCAGAACGATAAGTGATTCACAAAGAGGTAGTTATCAACATAACGTGGATGATGTGATGAGTGATTTTTCCAATCAGAGTGTCTACACAACTGATGCAAGCGACCTATCATGTAGTACAACCCCCAGGAACATATGCGATGTTTTCGGCGGGGTGCTATTCCTGGATGGCCAGAGTAACTCCGACGAGGAAAATGACCCAAGTGATTCATACGGACAAAACCAAAACGGTCAACTCAGCCCCCGTTTTATGACCCAAAAGAGAAACAGCGACAATTGTGTCTACTACAAACTTAATGAAGGATTCGCAAAGAGAAAAAGCATAATGAAAAATATTTCTAAAGTTAATGAAATGAAAAAAAAGCTACTGAGGCAACATTTAAACTCCCTCAAATTATCCTTCCCTGAATACAGCGGTCTAATAAGAATGTCTCTCATCCTTATCTGCATCTACATTTTTTCCTTTGTCGACACCTCTAGGATTTATCATTACATAAGAGCTCAGCCTTTTATGAAATTATACGTTGTGTTGAATATGCTTGAAATTTTGGAGCGATTGCTCAGATCGTTAGGGATGGACCTCATAGATAATATGATTCGAACTTTCATCAGAATTATTAACTTACGATCCTATGTGTACATTGTTAGGAACCATTATACGAGTAAAGAGAACGAACGAGAGGCAGGGGGAATGCCCGGAATGACGGAACACAACCCAGGTCGGGCTCCGCAAGGTAGCAAAAAGACAACCTTCCTAGCATCTTCGCCCACAACTGCCACCACAAGCACAACTGCAGCCACCTATGGGGGATCCCCGACCCAAGCGGAACACTTCCCAGACAACAAATCGCCAACCCCGAAACATCTAATCCCATGTGAGGCACCCCAGAAGGATGACCAACTGACGAACAAACCAACAGGCATTTGCCAAATTAGCAACAGTACACAAAACGCGGAAAAGTGTAGAAATAAAATTACTACCACCACCAGGCATAACCAAAACCAGAAGCAGAATCAGCTCAATCCAAACGAACGAGAAAAAAACAAAATTGATGGTCTCAAAAATAATAACAAGGATGACCAAATGAACAAGCAATTTAAAATACCCATCTTCTACCCCTTCTATAGTATACTCATTAAATTTATTGTGCAGTACATTCTTGTTCTCACTTATATCTTAACACACGCCTTTGCACACCTCGTACGATTCCTCTCGCTGAACATTGCGATCAATTCCTCGGAGGTAATTTTCGCTTCCGTTCCTTTCGGAACACCGCCATGTATATGTATATATGTATATGTGTGTGAGAGTGTCCGCATATATTTTCACCACATCATCAAACACACGTACATATACCCGTGCCTCCCCGCCCTCCCCTTCCTTTCCGCCAGTCGACCATGTTTCTCATCCTAGTGATGAGTAACTTCACAGAAATCAAGTCAACAGTCTTCAAAAAATTCTCCAAAATTTCCCTATTCACAATTGTTGCTTCAGATGCAGTCGAGCGCTTCTACCTCTTCATCGATGCCTTCCTCGTGTTGCTAAAAATGTCCACTGCGTACAGAACGCAGAATTCGTTTTTTAGCATTTCCAGCTGGCTCATAATTATTCTGCTCCTCGAGGTCGGCGTCGACTGGTGCAAGCACTCCTACTTGCTCAAGTATAACAAATTGGACTCGGACTCCCTCAACAAATACTTCCACGTAAGGGCAACGGAGAGCCGAGACGAGTGCACAGAGCAAGATGCACTACAGAGAGTATAGTAAAAGAGCGCGTACTAAACCACGTGCACATGAGACTACCTTACACATATGCACCCGCTTTTTTGCATCACCCGAAGACCCTCCTGGCCGACGTCCTAATTTCCAGAATCCCCAACAACAACATCTACTACATGAACACCTCCTCCTTCGAAGTGCCCTGCAAAAACATGTTCTGCTTTTCGCACATCCCCACGCGAAGGCTTGGTTACATATCCATGCCGGTTGTGACTCTCATCGTGTGTTCCCTCCCAAGGTAGGTGCTGCATCAAAGGGTCTCCAAGTGGGACCCCAAATTGCCGATGGATAGGGCAACAGAGCGGCCACATATACGCACATAACACCCTCTCCCCCACCTCGACAACAATTTAAATTATTCACCCCTTCAGATTAAACTATTTGTACAACATCTCTCACTTATCCTTTGCTTTGTCCATCTGGGTTTGCCTTTTCCTTTTCAAGGTTTGACAAATAATGCGAAAAAAATGTGCACGAATGGGCGGTTGCTTCATTTGTGTACGTGCACCACGCACATCGGAGTTGTGCACTGCAATTGTTTCATTTTTTTTTTTTCTTCTTTTTTTTTACCTCACAGATCATCCTGTCAGTTATGATTGTGTCCTACACGATATCCCAAAAGAAGCATCTTAAAAACCTTGGGAAGCCATATGACGATATTAGTGCCATGTGAAGTGATGAACGTAAGGAGCACACGCCCTCCTCTAACTCGTCTCTTCGCATTTTGTGAGCTTCCACATTATACTTTGCCTTTTGCTGTTTTGTAAAGCTAACCCATGACCTGCCACGTCATATGGGTATTTTTTTTTTTTTTTTTTTTTTTTTTTGATCATTTTGAAAAAATTGTTTTTGTTGTTGTTTTAATTCCCAATTAGTTATAAACTCAATTTTACGCAGCGTTAATCTGTACATATGTGTGTACACACTGATCCACGTGTGTTTGTGCGCGAATGTTCAGTTTGGCTCATACATATTTGCACATCCATATCGTTTTCATACTACCTTTGTCCTTATCTTTCTTTCCATTTTTGCAAATTCGCTGACCTCATTTAAAGGGGTCCTCCCCCGTTTTATATTACAACCAAGTGTACAAGGGAGTGTCCTGTATTGTACATTGCGGCATGGCCAAAGGGGTGGTAACACCTAGCACGTTACGCCTTTTATCAGACACGGGTGAAGATTTTTCTCCGCCTCTTAACAATGTAAGAAGTTCTACACGATTGTTCTTCTCCCTTTTAATTCTAATTCATGGGATTATATATGGTTGCATTGTGCGTTTTTGCATGCAGGCATGCATGGGTGGGTGTTCTACGTGGGCAATGGTTGATGAATGAACAATACGCTATGAAGGAAAAAAAGTTCTGTTGGGGAAAAAAAAACCTTTTCAATGAATAATAAAACATTACCCGACAATCTCCATAAGACGCCTTGCTGTTTAAGCGCGCGGGTACAGAAAGCAAAGCATGCAAAACGACGGGAAATAAAACGATACATATATATATACATACGTATGTGTGTGTACACTCTATGCCCATTCACAGCTAGCTTGTGCACATGCTTTGAGAGGGGAAATACGCAAAAGGGACGTAAGCACTGTGTATGAATTGCTCATAAAACATTCAAAATTTAACGATTGTTAGTAAAAACATTTTAGGAATATAGGTTCGTGTGCGTAAAGGGGAATGTCCTGATGTTTGCAATAAACCCTAGTGGGCATGCCTCCTCGAGGAGCTGTTTCCGCGCGCGATGGAAACGCAGTTCCCCTCGTCACACCTATCGCATATTGTACATGCGTACACTCACTGGATGAGTATCATCATCCGTTATATCTCGCCACAGTTAGTGACTACAACTGGCCTTTTGACATAACCGCTATTAGCACCTTCCTTTTCCATGTCCCTTACAACGTTCATGCCTTCAATGACTTTACCAAAAACAACGTGCTTGCCATCTAACCATGGGCATGGAACCAAGGTGATAAAAAATTGAGACGAATTTGTGTTCGGTCCTGCATTAGCCATAGAGAGTAAACCTGGTTGGTCATGCTTCATTTTAAAATTTTCATCAGTGAAAGATCTTCCATATATGGACTCTCCACCAGATCCGTTTGCATTTGTGATGTCTCCTCCTTGGCACATAAATTGAGGAATAATTCGATGGAAAATGGAATTCTTGTAATGTAGGTTCTTTCCCTTAGAACCTACCTTATCACCTACACAGAGAGACCTAAAATTTTCACATGTCCTAGGCGTGATGTCACTGAACAGCTCGAATACAATCCTTCCAGCACTTTTGTTGTCAATGGAAATATCGAAGAAAACTTTGCTCCTACTCATTTTGGCTTAAAATTAAAAGTGAACTCTAAAATTTGAAGGGGGGAAGTTTTATATATATAGGAAAAGCATGTAGGAACGATGCAGCAGTTATTTTTTATGGGGCATGTAGGGGCTGGTATGCAATATATCTGCCCATGCGGGGAGCGGTATATAATATAACAATAATATGCTTATAAAACTTGGCAAAACGAGTTCAGTATCTTTTGCTTGCTTACTTTTATGCGTCGTGATGGAAAAAAGGTTTGTTTTTAATTGTTTTAATTTTTGCTAACAATTTTTGTTTGT